TTTTGAGTGGATTTTTGCGAAGGGCGTAAGGTCCGCATCTAAATTCGTTAATCTGCACATGGACGGCCAGCTGTTCCGGCACCATTTGTTGGAGAGGCTGTCTTGGCTCCTTTGTCAAAGTTCAGGTGACTGTATCGATAGGGTTTTCTTCTGTGCTCTTTGTTCTGTTCTGTTGATCTATTTGTCTATTCTTTTGCCAATACCACACTATTTTTGTTAGTACTGGTTTGTAGTAAGTCTCGGTGTCGGGCAGCATCGAGTCCTTCAACTTTGTTCTACTCATCCAGTATTTTGTTGGCTATTCTGGGTCTTTTGTCTCTACGTATAAACTTTCTTGAGAATCAGTTTGTTGTTAGCCACAAAATAACTTGCTGGGATTTTGGTTGGGATTTCACTGCATCTACAGATCAATTTTGGAAGAACTGACCTCTGGACAATACTGAGTCTTCCTGCCCATGAACATGGACTATCTCTCCATTTATTTAGTTCTTTGATTTCATTCATCTCAGAGTTTTGGAGTTTTCCTCATATAAATCTTTGATGCATCTTGTTAGATTTATGCCTAAGTATTTGGGGGAGGGGTATTAATGTAAATGGTGTTGTGTTTTTAATGTACACTTCTACTTGTTCGTGATTGATATTTAGAAAGCAGTTGACTTTTGCATATTAAATCCATATCCTGCCACCATGCTGTATTTGACTGCTAGTTCCAGAAGATTTTTTCTTTTATTCTTTTGGATTTTTTACATAGATGATCGTGTCATCTGCAAACAAAGACAGTTTTATGTCTTTCTTCCCAAAGTGTATTCCCTTTTCTCGTCTTGTTGAATTATCAAGGACTCTCAGTGTGATACTGAAGAGGAGTGGTGAGGGAGGACATCCCTGCCTTGTCCCTGGTCTTAGTGGGAAAGCTCAGAGTTTCTCCTCATTAAATGTGATGTTCGCTGTAGGTTTTTGGAGATAGCTTTTATCAAGTTGAGTAAGTTTCCCTCTATTTCTAGTTTATTAAGAGGTGTTTTTTTTAAATCATAAATGACCATTGGATTTTGTCAGATGCTTTTCCTGCGTCTATTGATACGATCATGTGATTTTCCTTTTTTAGTCTGATTAACATATGGGTCGTATCAATCGATTTTCAAGTGTTGAACCAGCCTCACGTATCCCAAGTGGGATACATCCCACTTGGTTGTGACATATATTTCTTTTTATAATTTTTTAAATTCAATTTTCTAACATTTTGTTGAGGGTTTTTGCATCTATGTTCATGAGAGATATTGGTCTATAGTTTTCTTGTAATATCTTTTTTCTGGCTTTGGTATCAGGGAAATGCTGGCTTCATAGAATGAGTTAGGAAGTATTTCCTCTGCTTCTACACTCTGAGAGAGATTGTAGAGAATTAGCATAATTTCTGCCTTAAATGTCTGGTAGACTTCCACCGGGGAACCCATCTGGACCTGGTGTCTTCTATTTTGGAAGATGATTTTATTGATTCCATTCTGTTAATAGATCTAGACCTCTTCAGGTCATCTGTTTCTTCTTATGTGAGTTTTATCAGTTTGTGTCCTTCAAGGAACTGGTCTATTTCATCTAGGTTGTCACACTTATGGGCACAGAGCCATTTGTAGTATGTCGTCATGTAGTGTGTCTTTCATTTCTGTGGGATCGATGGTGATCTGCCTTCTTTCATTTCTGATATTAGTACCCTGCAGGCTCTCTCTTGTTTTCTTAGATAGCCTGGCTACAGTCTTACTGACGTCACTGATCTTTTCAAAGCACAACCTTTGGGTTCATTTATTTTGTCCGTTGATTTCTTGTTTTTAATTTCACTGGCTTCTGCTCTAATTCTTCCTTCTTTTCTTCTGTTTTCTCTGGATTTGCTCTCCTGTTTCTAGTTTCCTAAGGTGGAAAGTTAGATAATTGATTTTATTTGTAACTTTTTTAAGGCTCCTCTGAAGTGTATTCCAGAGAGGCTATAACCAGTCTGCATTCCCGCCAACAGAATGGGTTCCCCTTTCTCTGCATCCTTGCCAACATCTGTCGTCTCTCGTGTTGTTGATAGATAATTGAATTTAGATCTTTCTTCCTTTCCAGTATATGCATTTGATGTTATAAATTTCTCTTTAATCACTGCTTTCGCTGCATCCCACGATTTGTGATAAACCGTGTTTAATTTTTATTTAGTTCAAAAATATTTTAAAATTTCCCTTGAGCTTTCTTCTTTGACCCGTGTGTCACTTAGAAGCATGTTGTTTATTCTGCATGTATCTTGGGATCTTCCAAAACATTAATTTCTAGCTCAGTTTCACCCTGGTCTGAGAGCAGGATTGAGTGATTTATATTCTTTCAGGTTTGTTAAGGTGCGTTTAATTTTTTTTTTTCTTTGAGCGTAGATGGCACACCGTGTTACATGAGTTTGAGGTGCACAACACAGTGATTCGACAAGTTTATACGTCACGCTGTGACACTCGTTACAATACAGATGGACCCAGAGTGTGTTATGCTAAGTGAGAGAAGTCAGTTAGAGAAAGACAAATACCATATGATTTCACTCATATGTGGAATTTCACGTGTGCTTTCCGGTCCAGAATGTGTTTGGGGAATGTTCCCTGTGAACCTGAGAAAACAAACGTGCATTCTGCTGTTGTTGCATGAAGGTGTCTACGGAGGTCAAATACGTCCATTCAGTTGGTGGTGGTGAAGGTCCGCTGTGTCCTACTGTCTTCCTACCTCCTGGCTTTGTCCGTTTCTGGCGGAGGGTTGGTGGAGTCTCCAGCCGTCACAGTGGATTCAGCTGTTTCCCCTTGATACTCTCTCAGTTCCGCCTCAGGAAAAACCAGATGATTTGTTGTTAGGCACACGCAGCTTAAGGATTGTTATATCTTCTTGGAGAATTGGCTCCTTTAGCCTTAAGTACTGCCTCTCGAGATCGCTGGTAACTTTCCTGACTTTGGAGTCTGCTCTGCTTTACTGCTATAGCCACCCTTGTTTTCTTTCCATTAGCGTTAACGTAGCATGTTTCCCCATCCATTTACCTTAAATTGATACGTGTCTCTCTCCATGAAGGGGGTTTCTTGTAGAGAACACAGAGCTGGGTCTTGTTTTTTGATCCACTCCGACAATCCTTTTTTCCTTGGGGCACTTAGGCCGTGGACATTCAAAGTGACAAGTCTTAATATATTCCTTTTGTCTTGATGCCTTGATCTTTCCAAATGTTCAGAGACTCTTTGCTTTCTCAGGTGGGCAGAGAGAGGTAACTGGCTTGCCATTATTGAGTTTTAAGCTGTTAAAAACTGTGTGGATCCTTTTCAAATCTCTTACCTTCAGAAAAAGAGGACAAAACCTAATTTTTTTATAGTAGTTTGTCTTGTTAGATTAGATGTCTGTTTACCGGGGTGGGGTGGGGGGAAGGGAGTTACAGCCACAGGCAGATTTTCAGTAAGATCCACCCCGGTGGGCTGAACGATGGCTTTTCCCTGCCCCTGGTAGGGTCTCAGCACCAGCTGGGCACCACGGCCGCGTGCATGGTGGGTGTTAGCTGGTGATGCCCTAGCTCACCCACCCCCACCCCCACCTCACCCACCGAGCGCAGGCTCCGAAATGTGTTCCGAGCTCTGAGACCTCTCTCCTTCTTAGGAGTGTGCGGACCTCTCCCTTCTGACTATCCACGCCGGCCTTGCTGCTACAAGTTGAGAGGTCGTGTTTTTCACTCTAGAGTTCTATTTTTTTTTAATTTTTTTTTTTTAACGTTTATTTACTTTTTGAGACAGAGAGACAGAGCATGAATGGGGGAGGGTCAGAGAGAGAGAGGGAGACACAGAATCTGAGAGAGACACGTCTCTCCCAACCCCGCTTGTCTTTAAACCTGCTGTTGCCGGTGAGGTGTTTGCACTCGGCTGGGGACACTTCGCACCTGCTCCCAGGTGAACCTTCTCTTCGGATCCACCTGCCAATTAGGGGGCGATTGGAAATTTCCCCTAAACCAGGCGCGTTCTACCTAACTCATGTAAACCTAGTATTTGGTGGCACCTGCCATCCACTGATAGATTTCCTGTCTTTCTCGTGTCCTTATGTAGCAGCGTGCTCGAAAGTCAGGAGAATTGGGCGGTGCGTGTTTGAGCTCCAGTTTCCATCCGGAACCAGGCCAGCAAAGCTCTTGACCAGGACAGTAACATTATTTAAATGGCCCTTTTGGAGCCTCCTTTCTGCGCCGTGCCCGTGCACGCAGACAAGTCCTCTGCTGCCGTCTCAGAAAACCTTGGACTAATCGTGCCTGCAGCTGGCTTGTGGCCGAACAGCTCCTGGGCCGGGGCAAAGCACCGTCCCCTGGTCAGAATCTCCTTGTGGTCCATGGTCGGGTCACTGGGTAAACTCTGATCTTTATGGTCCCGATCCCTCGTTCCTGTCTCCTTTGTCAGAATGTCTTCTTTGTTAGACTGTTTATGGTGTGTGGTACCTTTTGCCCCCCACTTGCTAACTTTGCGTGTGTTCTGGGTGTCCCAGTTAAGGATTCGGATTGCCGTTGTTTCGGCGGGAATCTAGTCTGAACATCACAGGGTGACAGGGTGGAAACGGCTGTGTTTCTACACTGTAGCCATCCTTTCTCTTTCTCTTACTAACGGAACCCCAGTGTTGTTGAGAATGGCATTGTGCCTGGATCAAAGATTATTATTTTGTACCATTCTTGAAGCCAATACTCGTCCAAGAAAAACTTGCTGAGGCTTATTGAGAGGGTTTTACTTTCCTGATATAGATACCATGCCTTCCTCCTTCTGGCCCTTCCTAATTCTCAGAACTCGGATGTGATGGCTGGAGCTGAAGCATTCATTTTGCAAACGTGAGGGAAAAACGAAGGTCATTTCAGAGCCCCTGGTCCTGATGTCCTTGAGCCACCAAACCAGTGTCAGAGATCACCTAGCTCTAGACTTGCTGTTACAGAAGAGAAATGGACTCACCTCTTGTTTACGCTTCTCTTACTTTAGTTTTCTGTTGTATTCAACCAGACTCGCTTGCTGACGGACCCTGGCAGTGCGTTGTTCGGGATGGGTTCGGATGCAAGGAAACATGACGCCCACTCAGTTCTGTCCCAGATGCACCGAAGAATTCGAGACCGGAGCCCAGAATGGGGAGGGAGAGTTGACTGAGTAGGTAAGTACAGGGCACTTTCAAGAGGGAAAGCGGGTCACTGCTGAAGCAAGAGAGGCGATGGCCCCGTGAAGGTCCCGCCGCATCCTTTTAAGCTGCTTTCTGCACGTGTAAACTTGGCTTTGAGGGGCATGTTAGATCGACAGCTGGTGGTTATATAACATTTTGGCTTCTAAGCATGTGCCTACCTGTGAAGCCTTCTGTTATAATTGTATTTATTTATGTGTTGCATATTTGTGAGTTTCTAACGACCCTTTGCTGTGACCTTGAGGGCAAGGTGCACCTTTGTGCGCATTCTCAGCTCTCACAAGTCCCCTGTGGCTCTTGAGCCCGCTCTGTGGCTAAGCCTTTGCTGTTCTGCCGCCCGTAGAGGTGGCTCTGAAGGTGTGGCTGTTAACCCTCGGGGGTGGCTGGCACCTGCTTTACCCCTCCCTGCTCACGCCTAACTGCCTAACATCCCCCTGCCCCCGCCAAGTGATCGGACCCCAAATCATCGGGAATCGGGGCGATGACCACTCTGGCTTCTTCATGCTGTCGGGGTGTTGTGGGGATTTGGGGCACCCATCACTTGCCAACTATCGAGGAGATAAGGCGATGGCGGCTGGCCGTGTCTGTTCAGGGGCTTCCGAAAGGGAAAGAGCTGTAGGCATCTGATGGTTGATATCCTTGGTTGAGGACCAGATGGAAATTAATGGCCTGTAGCCTGGAGGCGACAAAAGATACCAACGTATTGATTAGTTGTGGTCCAGAGAGTAACAGTAAGAGAGCCACTAGAGTGAGGGAAATCGAGGGAGTAAGGGTGTAATTGTAGTGGAGGGACCAGCGAATTTTTATCTTACATGATAAAGAGCCCGCTGATAGGACAGACTTGAGGTGTGGCGCTCCAGAGCGCCAGCTGTCCGTCTCCGTGGGTCTTGGCTCCGCGTCTCTGTGCCTGGCGCCTGCGTCCTCAGGTCAGGTCAGGTGCGCGTCTCCACCCTGCACCCTTCACCGTCCGGTCAGGTCAGGTGCGCGTCCGTGCCCGGCAGGCAGTGAAATCTCCTAATAATGTCTCCAAGAGCGGAAAGCAGAAAGCATCGCTCCCTCAGAAGGCGGGTCATTAACTAGGGCGCCTCGACCACGCATGCCCACGTGGAGATAAGCTGGAGACCGTCGTTACCGACTACCGGACACCCGGCCCGCACCCCGCAGGCCACGCTGACAGCTTAGCCTCTCGGAGCCTCCAACGTGTTTGGTTTCCGTTTTTCTTTTGGTAAAAGCAGGATGCTAAGAATTGCATTACCGCGTCTCCCTGCTCAGAGGGCGAAATAATTCTGTACAAATGTATGTTGAATAAGTGGGGACAGAAACTGAAATCGAATAAGGGGGAGGCACTTCGGAAACTGGTAAACATTACGGAACCCAACCTAGTAATCCAAGAGTTAATTCCGCAAACACTCGTGACTAACCACTCTGGGCCAGTAGCTGGAGATACAGAGTCAGGGGAGACCCCAGGTGTAAGCTGGGAGGAAAGACGGACACGTGAATAACAGTGTCGCTTACGACGTGACAAGAGCAGGCCTGGATCTCCTTGTGGTGAAGCTTCTAGAAGAGGGCGTTAGACGGTGCAAAGGGGTTTGAAGGGTATATTCATTACGATCCCGTGGGCTGTAACCGCGGCAATGACGACGACAAAATCCAAGCTTTCAAGGACTTGACGTTACGAAAGACTTCTTACTCACTTAATAGCCAATCGCAGGTGCCCCGGCTGTGGGAAAAGGGGTTGGCATGAGGCAGTGAGGAGACGGACGAGTTCTGCTCCACTTGGAGACCAATAAAGGCCCTGCACCTTCAACACGTTGTGCCTTCCGCAGCTGATGGGGGACTAGGGAGATGTGGGGTGGCAGTCATTTCTTCCCCTTGTATTTCACTGGTTAGGACCAGTCCCGTGGCCCCATCTAGGCCCTAGAGGGTCGTAAACGCAGTTGCTGGCCAGGCCGACTTTCTCCAAACACGGCCGAAACCTACAGAAAGAAGGCGTGAGTCTTTGATGGGCAGCAAGCCCACTGTACTCCAGAGGGCTTCCTGGAGGAGGAGATAGGCTTAGTGCAGGGTTTTGAAGGATGAATTGGAGTTAGAAACTCCAGATACTGACCTGCATTCCAGCCGGAGGGAGCTATTTGCAACAATAATCATGAGAAGATGTGTGAGAGATTTAGAATCATCTTTGTCCGTTGAAGAGCTTCCAGAAGTTTCATGTTTGACCAGAGTGTTATGATCCATCTGTGTGGGACGAAAACCTACAAACCCAGTTCTGGGTGAAGAGTGATGACTTCAGTTTTCTTGCTGGGAGGCTCGTCTGGGTGTGGGGTTTGATCGTGAGTTATCTGAGGTCTGGACAGAGCCCGGTGGGTACTGGGCGTGCTCCATCCAGGGGCCCTGAGCACAGTGAGCTGACCATGACCTTGGGGCCGGGAAGGAGCCGGCCGAGTTGCAGCGCCTGATGGGTCTTGAGCGTCAGGGACAGCAGGTGGGGCGGGTCTGACCGAAGGGTCAGCGTAACGACTGGTCTCTGTAAACCTTGGCTTCTTCGTCTGCGAGACGTGGTTCACGTGGTCGTTGGGGAACAGTAATGAGCAGACGAGGGGAGATGCAAACGAGTAAGTAGTGTAGACGGAGGCACTTGTAAGAGACTAGATGCTGTGCATATTAGCCCATTAATTAACCTGCACTTCCCTTCCGGGGCACTGGATGGATACTTGCTCTGGACAAGACGTTGAGCTAGAAGGTAGTGAAGGGCAGTGAACACGAGGCGACGAGCAGGAGCATGTTTTCTGTAGGCCGGGGACCGTGCTCAGCCGAATGGCCCGGGAAAAGCATCCTTTTGAGAGGACCGGCTGGTGGCCATGTGACGATTGCGGCCCTGTGTTTTCCGAATCGCTCTTGAATTAGCTCCCTCCTCCCCAGTCCTAGAGGCATCCCCATAGTTCATACCCTCCTGTCTGTCTCGTGGAATAGATATTGCAGGAAAATCTCTGAAATGGTCATTTTGCCTCTAGCTCTGTGTGCTCATTGGCTCCTTCCTTCATTCAACACCTACTGAGCTGCACCACTCATGGGGCCTTGGGCGTGTGGCAGCGAATTCTGCCAAAGCGTCAGTCTCCCCACACGGCCGCTCTCTCCCACCGACACAAGAAAGCGGAACCCCGAGCATGGCACAACAACACCGTCCACCCCCCGGACTCGACCCGTCTCCCCAGCCTCACGGCTGGGAGCCCCTTTCTCTGCGTGACAGTCTCCTCGTACTCTGCACACGCTTTGCTCTTGAAGTGCTGAAAAAGGCTCCAGGATCGAGACTGGGTATGAACTCTGGTTTGGAGAAGTCACTTAGGCTCAGTTAACTTACTTGTAAGTAGGAAATACAAACGGGCCTTGACCTCTAGCATAAAAAGCCACTGACGTAGGAACGTAAGCTGATTAGCACCGTGTCCTAGATGAGTTGGTGTGTGTTTGGTCACAAGCAACAGAGAACCTGACCGCAGAGTTTTAAACAAGTGAATGTTTAGAGACTGAACGTAGTTTTTGATGTGGCTTCAGTGGCTCAAAGAGACAGGACTGAATTTCTCGACCCTTCCCTCGTGCTGGTCACCTCATGCTCAGAGGGTGGCTGCGGTGGTCCCAGACCTCGCATCTACATCCCAGGTGGAGAGAAAGGGAGAGGGGCGGTGCCTGCCGGGTCCCTCCTGTTTCCATCAGGAAGGCACGGCTTGCCTGAACTGCACACCGCAGAATTCCCGTTAGGTCATCTGGTCTGAGAGCGGATCACGCGGCCTTCTCCAGGCGCCGGGGCGGTCGGACACTCGGAGAAGGTTGAAACAAGTGGCGATCGGGGCTGGGCTCGCTGTACTCCGAACGCATCTGGAGGTCCGCCGGCGGAGGAGAAGAGGCCAGCGTTGCCTGGAGTGACCGAGCGGTGTCGGCAGACCTTTTCCCCCCGAATCGCTGCCGTGTGCGAACGCACGCTGCGAGCGTTTGCAGGTGGTGAGTCGTGAGGGCTCAGCACCGTCCCGCCAGCTTTGCCTCGTGTTGTGTTCCTTCTTCAACCTCGGTGTAACTCCTCCAGGACACGCAGAGACCCACGAACGGGCCGCCCCGGGGCTAAACCGCCCCTCTGCCTACCTCTGTTGTCTTCAGTTTGTCATTATTCCAGGCGAGGGGGCCCCGGTTCTGCCGGGCTCACGTGGGGGCCACGCGCGCTGCACAGAGGGTCGCGTCCGAACCTCGGAACCCTTCCGTCACCTAACACGCGTGCGAGTGAAGGGCACGGAGTGAGTGTGCCCTGGCGAACGGTAGAGCGAGGTCGCGCGCACGGAAGGTGATGTGACCGCAGAGCCTGTGCGTCTGGTGGGGACCCACACCCAGATGGACGCCTCTGTGTGAAGGCCAGCCTGTTCAGGGCCTCCGGGGTTCCCGTCCCCGTCCCCACGGCCTCCGGGCTCAGAGTCTAGCCTCCCCTGGCTCTGTGGCAGCTGCCCCTGGATGGACTCCTTCCAGCCTTACGTAGGCACCTCCTGGGGTCCCCTGGTGAAGCCGAGGCGTGACGTCCAGGGACCCTCTGGGCACATACGTGCAGCCGGGAAGTGGGAGGAGTGGATGCCTCCCGGGGCAGACCCCCCCAGCCAGCGGGGGCCGCAGCCCCGGGCCACCTCCTGCACACTTCCTCCCTGCAGGCGGAGGTCCAGACTCTCGGTCGCCGGACGGCTTTGTGGGAGGCGGTCTCGTGAGGTCCAGCAGTCAGTCTTCCTTCATACCGGGCAGTGGCCAGCTCGGCAAAGACCCCCACAGGCCGTGGCGGCCCTTTCCTCTCTGCCTCATTCCTCCGTTTCCCCACGCCGTCTTCCTCGGTCACCAAGTGTTAGCACATAAATGTTTGTAATTTCAGCTTGGCTTACCGCGCGGCCCAGGCTGAGACCGTGCGTGACGCTGTTCCACTATTTGGGATGATTTCCTTTGTCTAAAAACGT